AATGCCTTATCAAGTCCCCTTGACGTCGGCGATTAACATGGCGAAACTGTCTCTGTCTCGAGCTATTCTAAGAGTCGGCTTTCCTTATTCCTGTCCATTCCCTGATATTCTTCAACCAAGAGGCCTGCTTTCTACCAATTCCTCTGCGTCCTTCGATTTTACCCATCATAATAAGTTGAAGAATATTATATCGGTCTCCCCTTACTACGTGTCCAAAATAGGCCATCTTTCTTGATTTGATGATAGCCGTCCATGGAATTTTTAGTATAGGTCTGTACAGCCACATTTCAAAGACCTCCAGACGATTAATGTTGGATACTTTGAATTTCCATGCTTCGGCACCGTATAAGAGGACTGACCAAATGTAACATTCAACCATGTGCTTTCGAAGTTGAAGTTGCAAGTTATCATTACAGAAGAATGACCTCATTTTTAAAAATGTCGTGCGGACTATCTCGATTCTACATTTTGTCTCTTGATCTGGATCTAGTTGTTAAGTAATATGGCAACCAGGATAGTTAAAACTATACACTCTTTGAATTATATGACCATCAACATATAATCGTGCATCTTGATGTGCTAAACGGCTAAACACCATGTGTTTTGGTTTTGAACTGTTTATGTTTAGGCCAAACTCTCTTCCCACTGTATCAACGACATTTAAAAGGCATTGTAGTCCATTCATGTCATCACTTAAAATAACTGTATCGTCTTCATATCTGATTGTATTTATCAGAATTCCATTAACTTAATTATGCAGCGCTTCTTTAAATAATATTCTCTCTGAATATAAATTAAATAACAGTGGGGATAGTATACAACCCTGTCTGCTACCTCCTTGTAATTTACATATTTCTGTTGATTTTCCGTTTATGAAAGCTGTCGGTGTTTGACGCCAGTATAACTTTTCTATGAATCGTATGTCTTGACTATCGACTCCTTTATCTTTTAATATTGTAATTAATTTGTGATACTGTACTCGATCAAAGGCCTTTTCATAGTCAATTAATACAGCAAAGATGTCTTTCCTTTAATTTCGACATTTCTGCAGTAATACATTTAGTGCAAAGAGGGCGTCCCGAGTTCCCAGTCCATTTCTGAAGCCAAATTGTGTTTCATCCTGGTCTTCTTTACACTTATCTCTGATTCTACTGTGGTGAAAGTTTTTCCACCTTCTATAAATTCGCGTGAAGTATTAGCTCTACAATAGTGAGCCTCGAGTCTCGGAATTAAATCTATGTGTAACATTATTCTGTCTTGTATTTCGGTACCGATCTTTTTATGATTTATATGTTTTCCTCTTCTATGTACATCAATATTCACAAGAGATGCATACTACTTTGTTTTGTGAGTACACTCTGACTAGTTCCATTGTTAATTGCTAAAGTTGCCATAAAATATGTTTTGCAAACCCTTATGTTTTGACCAGAAATTATAAAGGTAAATGCAATATTGTTTTTCTTGGATCCACAACATTACTATATTTATATTTTGGATTAATTTGTGTCATAGTTTATGCTATATCTTCTCTTTGCTTTCCAAGATCTCCAAGCCTATAAAATTCTGAAAAAATGTGTTCACGTTAGTCAGTACAAATTTTGTCAGAGCATTTAGATCTGCATTTTTGATCAAATGGTGGTAGTATGAATCTTCGTGGCCTTTATTTTTTTTACTCTTGATATTGTACTATTTTCTCTTCTTCTGTATTTGAGTTGAAATATAAGATTCTCCCTTGTTTTTTAAAATTTTTTATTCATTCTTTTGCCATAATTCAAGTCTATTCTTTCTTGTTTTCCAGTTTTTTCAGTTTGAGTTTCAGCCGACAAAAACTCAGTTTTAGTTTTTTTGTGGATTCTTATCTTGATCTAGTTTTTTTGGCTTCATAATCGGAAGATTCGCGTGGTACCTGATATATGAGATGGCGCAGGCTATCATCGGATTATTTTGTAAGTCCTCATCGGAAAAATCTAAAAAAATAATGCCTCATTAAATATATACACGAAATGATGTTTGATTATTATTACATTAATTTTTTCTAAGCCAAACATACGTGCTTTTAAACTAAAATTCATGATATTTGTACATGAATTCGGGTTACATTTAAATATAAATCTAAAATATTATAAATACAACAACTAAAATCTACAGATTATAGATACATTTAGACTTAAACCACAATTTAATTCAAATTTCTCAAAAAAAATGTTACAACCCAGAGTTTTACCTTATTCTTAAGAAAAGCTTCCACAATCTTATTCAAATTTCTCGCGAAGACTGTTACAAGTTACAGTGTTACCTTATTCTTAACAAAATCTATGACATCTAAAAGTCACATTTAAATATAAAACTTTTTTTACAATCAATACTAATAAATGTTCAACTTACCCCGATATTCAATAGTTTTATAACAACTTATAACACTATTACAGAAAGAGCACAAACACTTAAAATGTTTTAAAAGAAAATTTATTGTTATTCCTAAGCAGCGGCGATAATGTTGCATGAACATTCGGCAATATAGTGAATTGTAACACTCTCTTTCACATGTGTCAGTCAAAACCGCTGACGTTACCACGTTGCATGTAGCAATTTCGCGTACAAATATTGAACTACAGTTATAATAATTTTTATCAGAAAATTACATCACATTTTCTGTTGATTACTGCATAAATCTCAAAAACAGAGAATTTTGAGTTGTAACACTCTTCTTCAGCATGGTCGATATTGTTTTTTATTCGTTTTCTCTATTAATAAAATGATATATCTTATGCACTTTTAGCAGTATCTAATCAATATTCACTACTTTTTATCGCCAATCTGGCTATATGTAAAGTATTGTCAGGTTTAACGATTGCAATATTCACCCATTTTATTGGTACTTAATGGCTGTCATCTAAAAAGCCAATTATTTGATTTGTTACGTTAACAAATACTTTAACGGTAATTGTTAGGATATAAATCAAAGCTCTAATAAAACTCAATATTCCAGCTAATAAAATGTGCTTTATAGAGAACTCTTAATTTTTAAGCACATTTCTCTTAGGGAAATTGCTTCTTCCTTTCAGAGGTTGAAAAAGGAATCCACTAACCAATTAATATTGCAGCTGCTAATTAATGTTCTTACTGAGCACTGGCTTGAAGTCAACGGGTCTTTTTTGTAGAAAAATATATCATAATTGCTAGGTGTGATCTAGACAATCTGATCATGAAGCAGTATATACCAACTTTAACACTCTTGACAAACAATCCTCGAAAACCCAACGTTAAGGTAGAATTTTTCCCCACAAAACTTTCGTAAATTCCAAAATTTGTGCTTGATTTTTTGGTGTCACTTTCTTTCTGTGGACGTGGACTAAAATTTTAGTGATGTTTATAGATAGAATTGTCTGTATTTTCAATAATATATTCCCTTACAATTAAGTAAAAACATTACAAACCCTAAACTACCACAGCCAAGAATATGAGTTCACTACTGTACATCAAGAAATTTACTACCAACGTCTGTGTCACTGAATATATCTCCAAGTACAAAGGAACCTATCTAAAACTTATCAAGATAGCTAGAAAAATGTACTATCAGAATCGTATGGAAAGCTCTAAGAATGTTGCAAGAAAAACTGGTCCATAATAAACGATGTTCGAAATAAAATTAACACAGCTCAAATATTTTCTCTTCCAAACCCTAAAAATCTAAATGAATACTTCGTTAATGTGAGTAAAAACATAACATCAAATATTTTGCCACAACAAGATCCTATTTCCTATCTCCATAATTCAAAAAATGTTGCGTATGAGATAAGTTTATTCTTTATAATAAGTTGACCAGTTGATAAATCTGAACTGATCCAAACAATCAGTAGTATCAAAAGCAAATCTTCTTGTAGTACTGATGGACTATCCATAAAATTTTTTCTGAAATTTCCCAAAAAATGTGTTGGAAGTCCTGGTCTTACTAATTAACGATTCTTTTGAAAAAGGTATATTTCCCAGAGTAACTAAACAAAGCCAATTTTATTTCTTTTCATAAGGGTGGTGAAAAATCGAATTTTTGCAACTATAGACCTAATGCATTACTACTGGTCCTATCCAAAATTATTGAGCCACTTATAAAAGCCCGACTTTCTCGTTTAAAACATTTTATCACAAAGCCAGTTCGGCTTTTTATCTAATAAATTTACCCCTGATGCTATGTTTTTTGTACTATATGAGGTATATTAAGCACTAAACAGTAATCTTTATACCGCCACTGCTTTTTGTGACTATTCCAAAATTATAAGGAATTCGAGGTATTTCTTTTTATTGGTTTCCAATCATACTTGACGAATAGGAAACAACTAGTGAAAGCAAAAAATGATAGTGACTAGTCACAAAAGCATTGTATATTGAGTACCGCAAGGTTCAGTATTGGGTCCTCTACTTGGTAATGATACCAGTATGACCTAGAGAAACTCTAATATTGCAACTCTTTATGCAACTATATGAAATCTATACAACACGTGGACGGAGAATGGTCAAGGGTACAACTTATAACCGATCCAAAAGTGGTTTGTTTAATCTAGAAATATTTGAAGACTGGTTTCACACTGTCGCTCTCCCCTATTTAAGGAAATTTTGCAATGATTTGATTAAAGTAATGATTAGCGACAACCTGTCAGGTCATATATCACCTTATATATGCTAATAGTACTGGGTTAACACAACCTTTCAATGTGGCCCTTTTTCGACTTTTGAAGATGAAGTGGCGTTAAACTCTTAATAAGTGAAAGAGCGAAAACCAAGGTACCATTCCAAAGGATAAGTTTCCACGGTTACTAAAGAGATTCCTCGACAATATTGGTGTTGAAAATATCTCCAAAAATATAATGAGTGGTTTTAGAGAAGCAGGAATTTTTCCTTTTGATAGGAATCAAGTGATCAAGAGACTTCTTTCTGCAATGAAAATCCCTCAGTCTGATTATAATTCACACACTAACAGTCTGGAGTGGGTTCAGACATTTGAGACCTATTTGGAAGAAAGTAGGAGAAAGGAAACCCAGCCTTCAAGAAAAATAAAGAAAAAGAAAGTTAATGTTCCTACTGGAAGAGGTGTAGAGTGTATTGAAGAAGAAGTGATGAAACATGACCAACTTGCTATTGCTATGACTTCTAAATCCATCCAAAACCGACACTTAAGGGACAATAATTGTGACTCAACTGATGAAGATGATTCAAATTATTCATTACGAGACTTAGACACTGACCTTATTCTCAGTGATATAACAAATGAAGATAAGTTTGATGTAATACCAGTAAGTAATGTGCAAGAATGTGCAACATCAACTATACTTTGGGTACCAAAGCCTATACATCCCATAACAATTGATAAAACTGGAAAGGATATGTTTGTCATCGGTAATTTGGTATTTGATGCTAGATCAAATAAAAAAAATGCTAAGCAATTGTGTGGACAATTGTGTGGACAATTGCAGGAAAAATTTGATAATGAAATAAATATAAAGATCTCAAGAAAGAGTTTAAAATTAGTCGGGAACGTGTACATTTTTCCCAATATTGATGATGAAAATAAGATCTCATTTCTTATCTACATAGGGTGCCATTTTTTTCTTATGTAGATTTAAAAAATCTATTTTAAACTTCGATGTGTTTTATTACCTTACTTATCATTATAAATGTCGTCTTTTACCTTTTTTGTGGGTTACTTGAACCACATCTTATTTTAACTAAGTTTTCACATGGATTTTAGAGTGTTGTCTCATGTTACCCCACTAAATTAAAAAAAGTCTGTTACCTACTTAAAGAAAATTGGATATTATTTATAAATAAACAAATAATAAATATTACATATTTACGTTATATGTTTTCTTTTTGAAAGAGTTGTTGGTTATTGTTCCGAATGTTAAAATTGTCCCAAGTAGACTCAACTTCGTTGGGTAGTTTGCCTCAAGGTAGTTCGTAAGGTTTTATTATCCAATTTGCAGTTTAGTGAAATTTTGCAATTAATTGTAAATTGTATTACCTTTTATTTTGTGATATTGACGAATTATGTAATTTTAATAAATTTTTATTGTTATTGTTATTTTTTTCACTTTTTGTAAGCTTTGTCCATAAAATTGTACAATTTCAGTGACAATAAAGCATATTTCTATTGAATTCTATATAAACTAAAACAGATATATTTTCTACACATTCAATATAATTTTTAATAATTCATAAAGGTTTATTTGTTTCAAGCAATGTTTATTTTTAACATCCTATAGTTTCTTCCCGATGTAATGACAATGACCATTAGTAACAAAACTAAAATTAGTAATGGAACATGATAAATTCATTTATTTTATGGATAAATTAATGGCATAAACTAATACCACGTAGTTTAGAGGTTATCACCAGCTATATTATAAAAGTCTGCAGGACATGAACTAAAACATAAAATCGTAATTAAATTAATTTTGTATTTATATGGGATTTAACCAAAATTGTTTCTAATAAAAATTTCATTTTACATTTGCTTTTAAGGTTTCAATTTAAAATTCGATACTCGTTTTGAAAAATTATGATAATAAATGAAAGATTTAATCCACAAATTGCGATGGCGATGTTACTACCATTTAGAGAGTACTAAGCAAGGTAATTAATTCCAAATCGAAGGACCACTCTCTAAAGTGGGAATTAAGAACACAAGCTTTAAACAATACGTAATTTAATGATTAACTTTGTACCTATAACTAAGTTAAGATCTAGCCAAAATTTAGCGCAAAGTTTTTATATCTAAACCGCCGATCACTGTCAAATTTATACGAGTCACCACACGAGGGCACTGTTACATTTTAAATGTTTTACTAATAAAATTTTTTACATGAACCAAGTATTGGTATACTTTATTAGTAATGAGCGTTTGTGAATTATGTAGCTTTTAAACTATAAACTATATAACAATAATTAGGTATACTCAATACGCGAGACAATCGAACACTCTTAAACCAGAAATGCGTCAAATTTGATAGAACACTTTTCTTCTGTTAGTTCCTATCCGTTTCGGATGTTGGCGACCATCATGGCAATCTGCACTTTGCACACTGCTGCTCTAAAAAGATTTCTGGTTGTTGTGTTGAACCACGTTCGTAGATTTTTCAGCCAGGAAATCCTTCGCCTTCCTGGTCCCCTTTTTCCTTCTACATTTCCCTGCAAGATTAGTTGCAGCAGTCCATATCTTTCGCTGTTCCTCATGATGTGACTAAGGTATTCGATTATGGCTGTTTTTATTGTGGTTAACAGCTCTTTTTCTTTTTTCATTCTCAACAGAACAGCCTCATTAGTAACGTGGTCAGTATACGATATCTTCAGGATGCGACGATAAAGCCACATTTCAAAAGCCTTGACCTTCAAAATGACAACTCCTTACAACAGTATAGGAAAGATGTAACATCGTAGTAACCTGATTTTTATGGGCATTGATAAATCATGACATTTGAATAACTTGGCCATTTTTTGAAATGCAGATCTTGCTTTCTCTATTTTCCATTTGATTTCTATGGAATGGTCCCAATTTTCATTGACGTTCGTACCAAGGTAGGTGTATGTTTTTACTCTTTCTATTTGTTGACCATTTACACTGATTTGTCCAAATTGCTGTTCCTTTTTAGAGATTATCATGCATTTTGTTTTCTTAGGGTTTAGTGAAAGTCCGTATCTCTGACTGACCTCTGTGATTCTGTTCATTAACTCCTGGAGGGTTTCAGAACTGTCAGCGAATACTACTGTGTCATCCGCGTATCTAATGTTATTGATAGATTCTCCTTTGATTCGAATTCCGGCTTCAACATCACCCACTGCTTCTTGAAAGAAAGAGTATATGTTAAACCGCAGTGGTGATAGTATAAATCCCTGAAGGACGCCACGTTTGCTTTTGATATCGTCGAATTCTCCTGCCTCTGTCCGGATAGATGATGTTTGATTCCAGTACAGATTGCTGACAATTCTTAAATTACGGGTGTTTAGAACACTCAACTAACACTAACTAATATGCGAGAGTTGAAACCTCTGACGCAGAAGCGATCAGCTAAGTTGGAATACAATTTAATACTGACTACGTGACTACTTTCAAAATATTATTGCCTTACCTATTAGCCTAACCTACTGCCTAACCTAGTAGGGGTCAGGAGAAACTTCTTCGAAACTTCTATTAGGTAGCTAAAACCTCCCTTTGAATGATTACTAAAGGGGATTTCCAAGGTACCAGTTTTCAATGGTTAAAAACAGCCTTTGTATGCTTTATATCAGCGATTTCTTTGAAATTTGCTAGGAGACAGTTACCTCGGTAGAATTTACGAACTTAGCAATTGTTTGCTACCAGTAACGTAGCACTTACAAAATTAGCTCTTCCAGAAATTTATCCAATAATTTTAAAAAACAAACCTGTAGATGTTTATCAAAAATTTGACAGTTAACTTACTTGGCCTCGATATTGTTGATAATTAGCCACGTTTTGGGTTGAAATTTGTAACGTGCAGTTTTAAGACAGCATATTCAGTAAAAGAAGTGCTTAAATAAAAATATATTTGAAATAAATACAAAAAAAATTATATCCTAGATAATATGTAAAATAAAAGAAAAAATATACAATTTAAAAGAAGTGAGGCTTTCGAACTCTGGTTAAACCACAGAGTATTAAATATCTCATGGACTGAGAATTTCAAATAAAGATGTACTGGGGAGGGTTGGTAAAGAAACAGAATTAATCCCCACTATACCAACAACAAAAACTGGAATACCTAGGCCGGATGATAAGGGGAACCAAAATATGAAATTTTGAATGAGTACTATAGCTTTCTTCTTCTTCTTTCAGTGCCCTGTTCGATTATCGAACGTTGGCGATAATATTGGCAATAATAACCTTATTCACGACGGCTCTAAATAAATTAAAGGTGGTTTCTTGATACCATTCTCGAAGATTTCGTAGCCAGGATGTTCTTCGTCGGCCTGGGCCTCTCCTTCCGTCGATCTTACCCTGCATTATGAGGGTAAGATCGTATAGAATGATCGTATAAATGTAGAAGTTTATACCTCTCTGGATGTCTCATTACATGACCGAAATATTGTAACTTCCGAATTTTTATCGTTTTTTGTATATTAGCTATAGTACTATAGCTCTAGTAATGAAAATATGAAACAAGTAATATTTATATTAAACTAAAAAAATCCTTTTATTAGTTTTTTACAGTATTATTAAGAAGTTATTTTTAGTAAATTCTTTTGATATAATTTATGTGCATTGCACCTCCAAAATGTGCCTTTCGTGTTTATCAGTTTACTTATGCTATAATATGCTTAAATATATGTAAGTTTACATAGTTATCTGTTCTATTTCTTATTTTTTGCGTTTTTGCGTTTAGCCGTCTTCCTTAGTTAAGTCGATTTCCTGAAATTTTCCAGCGGTAACAGTTCTACAAGCCTAAGTTTTTTTTCTCGATAACTAATCAGACAACCTTTACATAGGACCAGCAAAATATACCTGGAGCTATCAATCTACCCAACAAATCATGCAGGCGAAGTCGTTTTTATTGTGAGATATTAAATAGAGACTTTGATACACTTAAAAAATGCAATTACACCGTATCAGAATTTTACGTATAGCGACCTCCGAATTCATTCTTCTCTTTAGTAATTAACACACTTTCTAGCTGGTGGTTAGTGTACTTAACCATTAGTTCTCTCGCCTTTCGAAGATTTCATTTTCCACCACCTATTTCAATGCAGCATTACAATTACCTTTTGGGGTGATTTCGAAAAGGGAAGTTCATTAATAGTAGCATTACCTTACAAAATTTAATTTTCACTCGAAAGTATATTGGAGAGAGAAGGCATTGTTAGCGAGTGCTTGAGGTTTCTGTTTTACTTGGATTAAAGTAACTCTTTTATTTTGAATCTTATAATGAAACGTACAATTTTCTAATAAAAGTAACGTGAATTACGTTAATTAAAAATCATTTATATTTGACATTTAAATAATAGAAAGCTCAAACCTAGTTAAATATAATGTTTTTATGGGATTAAGCAACAATTGAATCGGTGAGTGGAAAAACGATACAACTCCAAAATCATGCATTTAAGAGAACCTGAAAAAACTGTTTATTTTAAAAAATATACATTACACAAGAAATATGTGCATTGCAAGTTTGAAGACAATCAAATTCTATAAGCGAATGTAAAGAAAAAATTTATTTTTGATTTTTAATAAACGACATGCGCGCCCAAACGTCACTTGGAGTTATGCCGTTTTTACACTCAACAATAAAAATGCGTTAAAAGATTTACGTTATTAATACAATAAAACAACAAATTTAAATAACTTGTATTATTTGTAAGATATTTGGCCATATAAGTTTTTAGAATGTAAAAGCATTATCATTTTTGAAAGGACCTAAAAGAAATGGTACTTATTGGTCTTCTTGAGTCGCCTCAGCATCAACATTGGTGCTTTTCTATAACATAATGTGATTCCAAAACTTCTCCTGTCATGTATCGCATTACATTTTTTAGATTATTAATTTTTTTATATTGATTGGTAATGTTTTAGGGTATGCAGGATTGATTGGTAAAATTTGGGTTGCTTTAGGTTTGACTAACTTGAAACTACTTGTGATGAATCCGCCAACATAATTGCTAGTCGTGACGTACCCTGGTAAAGAACTATCATAAGTAAATTGCCTGTAATGTGATATTGTAAATCTATCTCTTGTTCCATCGGAAGACTGGGTGATTTTTTTGTAGTGGTTCGGCCACCAATTTTTTTAGTGTTTATGACATATTGTTAAACGGCTTTAATTCCAAAGTCTCTGTCACATGGCAAAAATAGAGTAACCACGCAATGGGAAGTAGTGGAAAATTTTACGAAACCGCTTTGAAGCTGCAAGAGCTAATAAATATCTGACTACAGTGTTGTTACGGTTTTGGTCCGTACAACTATCAGAAAACATGTGGAGCTCTGGAATGCTTGCTAGCAGTACCGTTTATTAAACCGTGTATTTCGGACCCATATAACCACAACTGTCTGTAATAAAACAGTTCTTGAACAGGTATAACAGGCAAGGGCATATTTTGAATATAGTCAAAAACTATTAAGCCAACATCTTCTTTTTCATGGCACAAGGTAGAGAGTTCCTTAAGCTTTGAGTAAAATTTGTTAGTTCGTCGTTTATGGACTACTAATTCGGCAGCGGCAACTCTGTTTGCGTTTTCGATTAAATGCACATCTTTACATTTTGTGCCCAACTCTTCGCATTGTCCGCAAACATCAACTTGAGGCCGCCCAAATTTCAATACATAGTTTTCTTTAAAAAGTTTTACATAAAATTTATATTTTACTATTCTTGCTAAATCTGGTTGTAGTTTTATAAATAGATTATACATAATTTTAACGTTTAAAGTAGAATTAAGATAGGTGATGACTTTTTGAACTGTAGTGAGATGTTTTTTGAGGAAACGATTCAATATGTTGATGTTCACCAATATGTTCACCATGTAGATCTCTAGAAGAACTTTGAGAAACAAACAATCTATTTAGCCGTTGTAGTCTAGAGTTCGAGATCAATTGCAGATTAAGAAAAGCTGTTTTACATACGTGTTGCCTTCCAAAGTATTTTTTATGTAATATGAAAACGTGACTTCTCGGGTTTTTTCCCCAGCTTCTCTCTTTGGTCGCTTCCTAGGTACACGCCTACATTCCATTAATCCTTGTAAATAGACATCTTGTTTGTATTTTGAACCTTTCTCATAAAAAAAAACATCTAAAAAAAAGTTGAGGTATCTCACTTTAAATAATTGGGATTCAATTAAGTACATGCTGGCTTATCTAGAATTTTTTTTGTTATATTGGTACAACTTTTGGATATGTTTATGAAACCAAACCTTCTGCCCGATAATAAGAATAAACATAAGCTTAGAAATATTTACATTTTCCGTCGAATGTCAGAAGTACCCGAATTTGTGTTTTTTCGAGTGTTTTTTCTCTACAAACCATTGTTATTAAAAAAATAATATTATATTTACGTTCAGGCTGTTTTGACGGCCATTTTGTTAAATATTTTTTCAGTTACAGTTGTATATTGAAGTCCAAGAAGACGAGCATTCTTTCTTTCAATTTTGTTCCAAGTTTCTGGATACTTTCTTTTCCTCTTTGTAGTCCCTCCGTATCAGAATTTTGACTGCTAGACATTTTAAATTTCTCAAATACTGATAAAACCTTAAATTATCACAAGCCGCTTACACTGCAATGATTAAGCCTAAATACTGAATAATAATAATCAGATGACTGCAGCCGATCATGCGCGATACGCAATATTGAGTGAAAAAACGATATACAAGTGGGAGTTGTATCGTTACTCCACTCAATGCCAAAATGTACCTCGCTTTTAAAGAGTATAGATCGATAGTTAAAAAGCAATTTGGCTATCTTTGCTTAAATTGTCAATTTTTGGAGTTATATCGTTTTTCCACTCACCAACGATTCAATTGATTGTAACGAAAATTACATTTTTAATCAATGATTGACGACTTTCACTCCGGAAATCATTTTCAAAAAAAGGTTATCTTAAGAAATTCTGCTAAAATTTGTAATGTGTTTAAACAACAAGTTATTGTTGAAAGTTATGTTTTTAAAAATAGTAGTTTAGTGTGTTTTTGTAATGTAGTTGCATATGTAGTGTGTATAAAGGAAAATGACATGTTTTCCACTTCCTATTAATCCGCTATTGTTGATATATTCTTGTTATTAATATCTTCTTTTAGTATTAGCAACCACAGCCTTTGCTACAAAGAATAGATTATACGTTATAGGTATTACATTTTCTACATTTATTTATTGATGTATATTAATAGTAGGGGAACACGTTGTACCTAGGGACAATTTTTACAATTTGATTTTTATAAATTAGACAAACAAAGATATTAAAAAATAATAAAATCTGGACAGTTGATCATACCTTTGTAAAGCTAATTCGAAAATGCCAATTTTCCAACATATATATGTCTACCCATTTTATCAATTTTTTTGTATTTATGTACGTGTCCCTAGGAACAACCGGTCTATTGTATCTACGGACACAAAGACTTGTACCTAGGGACACGAGTTGAAGTATCTGTACAACCAGAATTTAATATGTAAAACAAAAATACTTTCGTCCACCTTTCCTGATATTGCGGCAACAAAATATCCTGAATGCTTTTTCCCTTTTAAGTGCTCCAAAATGAAATCACCTTTTTGAAGATCATCTGAAGTAAATTGAATGGAATCAATTTTTAAACCTGACAAAGAATTATCATTACAATTACTGCTCTCACTTCTAATCTAAAGATCAATTTTATCTTCCTCTGACGACGTTTATCAATGTTTATCTTACGTTTTACTTTTTTTGTTTTTTTGCAGTTCCTTTTTGCTACTGTATTTCTTTCTTTTATTTCATGAAATTCTGGAGTGACGGTAAGAATGCGAGACCTTTCTTTTTTGCGCCCCTTGGACACTTTCCCTGTAAAGGGAGCTTTACGCTGTAAAGCTTTTGGAATGGGACGAACCTCATATGGTGAAATAAAACTTGACACAAGAGGAATTGGTTCTTGAAAATCCAACTTAGCTTCTGGAGTGGAAGATAAAGTTAAACCAGAACATGAAGGCTTATGGTCTGTTTCGGAAGCATCACAATGCGGTGGATCGGTGTCAGAATAAACAGGAAGGGTTGTGTAAATATGATTCAACAGTTTAAGAGAATTTTATAGGTTGTATGCACTTTTCTGGATTTTATGCACTTTAAATGGATCTACTGAGAAATTACATAAATTAATTATTCTATTCTGAGGTACTTCATTACCCAAAAATTCTACAACTATCATTTGTCTTGATACTAATTGAGTTGTGCCGTCCTTGTTCGTTATTTTTCGTTACATTTTTTGAACATTTACAATCCTTGGAAATATATGCAATGCTTAGAAAATAGCGTGTAAACAAATTTTGGAATAAAACCTATTAGATAATTTTTATTTAATATAATATAATGAATTATTTTATTTGAAATATAATGTTTAAGTTGTTAGTTTTGAAAATGTCTTGGACCCTACTAATATTAACTAAATCGTTTTTAAGTAATGGGTCATTTAATGAAAAATGCCTTAATTCAAAGAAAATCGTCTTCCGATATTTTTATTTTTGTGATTAATAAACACCAACTGGTGCGTTATTGCCAGCTTTATACCGATTTTCCAAATCTATTGAAGTATTTACAGACTTGTTTTCATTCATATTAGTTTTTTCTAACGTGTTTAATTCTTTGAGCGGTTCATGAGCATCCATAACAGCCTCTTTGATAATTTGATTGTTTTCTAATCAAAAATTATGGCCCTAAACAACACTAAATTTACACTAATTAAACAAAATCTTAAAATAGCACAATAGCAATCACTTTTAAACTCAAAACCAAGTTAATTTTCGAACATGTGTTCTCTATGACTATCGAAACGATACTGATATAACATTTATCTCAAAAACAGGTGTTTTGTTCCTCCACCTATATTTTTATTTTTGTATCAAGTATTTGTTTTATTATTTTCATTTTATATTTAATGCTTTAATTAACGTGAGTGCATCTTTTATATACGTAAACTAATACGGTCCTGAAGGCACCGCCTTTTTTGACATACTCACACTTAGTATTAGTATAACTGTTATGCAAGAAACCTAGTTTTGTGTTAAACATCTAGTCCTTAACTAAACAAATCCCATTTGGTTATTTTTAAAATTATACATCAAAGGATATATAGACTATGCGCAGAAAAAATCAGCCGTACACAGTTTGGTTATCGGAACGCAGTGGGTACGAGAGAGGCTGTCTTTAGTATACAAATGCTATTTAAACGATGTAACATATACTCTGAGGACATACCTACAAAAAAAATCAACCTACAAAAAAAATCACAAAAAACACAAAAAACGGCTTCGGCCACCAAAAAAAAATCAAAAAACACTAACAAAAACCGGCTTCGGCCACCAAAAAAATTAACAAAAACCCCAAAACCCCGGCACGTAGGGCCCAACCCCCTTGAGCACCAAGTCGCCGAACTGAGCCGGGACTCAGAGCGGAGACTTGAGGCCCAAGTAAGCAATTTTAGTTCGCGGATAAGCCACATTAAGATAAACAGGAATAAAGCGGAGATGCGCTCACATACGGTTAGGAAACCATGTTGGGGTTCAATTACCCAGGACCTCCCAGGACCAAGAGCACTTGGCTGATTGTTGTGCCTCTATAGCGAATCAGATTGCTATAGGGGGGAAAGGGATGGTCTAGAGCATTGGAGCACGGTGGGGTGATTCCTGTTTTTAAACACGAATTAAAACACCTTGCTCCAATGAATTGTTACACCCGATCGTACTACCTGGGTGAACATTTCTCATAGGCTGGGTTCAATCAAATTGCTTGCTTGCTTCTGAGGACATTTTTCAAGAAGCAGGAGAGGATGTTGAAGTAGGAATTGAATTAAAGGAAAATGATTAAATAAAATCATGACACGGTGGTATTCGTTGACAGCTATGACACTAGAATCACAGAAGTGAGTCAGGGATACGGACTTTACTGAACATTAAGAAAATAAAATGTGTGATGTTCTAAGAAGGA